TCCACATTAATCCATTTAGTCAGGAAATGAAGGGGGATGCAGATGAGTTATTTATTTATTTTTTCAAAAGTAGACGAAAAATTGGAATTCCCCACCAGGTTGTTTTCCTATAGTTACTGTTCAATAGTACAGTGCTGTGCTACTGCAACCTGAGCTGACAACCTAAGAACCACATATACCCATCTAAGACAGATCCCAGAGTTGGGGGAGAACGTGGATGGTCAGGAAGAGGAAGTCTGAGCAGAGGGCGAGAGGGGAGCCTCATCTTCAGGCCCACCTCCAACCCCTGACTTTCCAGATCCCACCACCTCTGGACCTGTGCTGTACACAGACACCACTATGGGCTTTGCCTCCTGCAGGCCACGCTGCTCTCTCATGCTCTGCCAGGGGGCTCGAGTCTCCTGGTTAAAGAAGAGTCCAAGAGGCCGTGGAGGCGAAGTCACCTAGTCAAGGCTCACACGGCTGCCAAGTTCCAGAGCCATGGGTGGAAGCAGGCCGTGTGGCTGGGGAGCCCCTGCCCCCCTGCTCTACCTCTGCCCCCCCTGCTCTGCCTCTGCCCCCCTGCGTCCAGCTGCACGCACTTCCCAGGTCTTGCAGGAGACACTGTGGCTGGTCCTCTAGGGCTTCCTGCCCTTGGACAGTTGGAATCCCTGCCAGAGCTCACGCACTTACTGAGGGGTGCAGGGGGCTTGGTGCCCTCAGCAGAGCCCTGTGTTCTCACTGGGAAGCCTGAGACGGGAGGGCCAGAGGTTTGCACAGCTGCAGGCCCTGGGAAAGGCCCTCAGCAGCCGGGACTAACAGAGCCCCACTGGAGGCGGAGCAGAGCCTCCTCCAAGGACCCACACAGGAAGGAGCTGGTCTGGTTTTTCTCAGGATGCTCAGGCCTCCTCGAGAACCAAGGACCAGGGACTTCTCAACGTATGTGCGCACCTGGGGCCTCTGCGTCATGTGGACTTAGCATGTTGAAAAAGGGGATCCTCAGGCCGCTAGCAGAAGGACTCCAGATCCAGGGAGTGGGAACAGTCACCTATATTTAAACAAGCTCTTCCAGTCTCAGAACTGGATCCCTCTTCTCAGGAACTGTTCTAAACAGTTCTTCCCCAGATGCCCTACTCATTTTTTCACCATTTTGCCTATCAGTGACCCTTAACCCCCCCCCCCCCCGGGGGGGGATAATACAGGTGTTAATATTAATCATTATGTTATATTAATCATATGGAGCCCAGATTCTTCCAAGCTCTTTAGATAGATCAAGTCATTCACAATCCTCACATCCCCTTGTAAGGTGGATACTGTCATTAGCCTAGTATTACATATAAAGAAGTGAGGCACAGAGAAGCTAAGAAACTTTAGAAAGTCACACAGTAAGTAGTTGGGCCAGAATATAGAACAGGTGGACTGACTCCTGAGCTTGAGCTCACAAACATTGTGACCTCCATTCATCGAAGACCCACGTGGTCAGCACAGGTGTGGCACTTTCATGCATCCAGCATCATTCATCGAATGTCGACTAGGTGCCAGGAATTGCTGTAAGTGTTGGCCAGACTGTGAGATGAGTGAAGCTCTCACTTTGGGCACAAAATTTAAGGATTGGCAGTGTGTGCCAACAAGCTTAGTAATCTACATAAATGATGTTTTACTGCAATATCTCCAAAAACCAGCAAGCTACACCTGTGGACTGGCACATAAAGTTTATATCATCAAAGCCCACGTAAGGCCTAATGGAGCTCACACGAATGACCTCATCCTCTTCCCCAGGGCGACACTGATGTCATCACCGTGTCAGGCTCACTTTTTCTCCAAATGTGACCAATGACGACAGAGGCTGGCCGTCGGGGGCATGCGGCACTGTTTCTTTCGGTGCCTCTTAAGCCTAACTTCCCCCCTCTCGGCCTCCCTCTAAGGAAGCCTCACGAAAGGAGAGCGCCGCTGTGCCCAGCGCCAGCAGCGCCCGAAGGGCAGAGCTGGAGCTGAACCGGCAGCCACTCCACCGGCCGCGCCGCAAATCAGGTTCCATCAGGACCAGCTGCGCTTCCTCACGGAGGGACTGTGCATCTGTTTCAAGGGCAGAGCTGGGAGGTGATGGCAGCGACCACGAGGGTCCCAAGCTGCGATCCATGGCCCTTGGGACCTTTAGAGAAGGGCCTGGGCTTTGCCACTGCACGGGGCTCAGAGGGTGAGGCTGTGCCCACAGTGGACCCCGGCGCGTGGGAACCCAGGCGCGACCCTTCGCACTTTGACAGCGGACTCTACTTGGCCCCGCCCTCGCCCCGCCCACCGGGACCACGCCCCGTGCCTCAGGGCCCTCGCTCCGCCCCTGGAGACCACGCCCCTGCCTCTCAGGCCCCGCCCCTCCCCGCCCCGCCCCTCGGGGATCAGCCTCCGTTGAGGCCAGGGAAGGCGCTCCTCCCACCTCGGGCTCCCTGCGAAGTCCCCTCAAACCCAGAGAGACAATTAGAGCCCATGTGTGTGTGGGGGGGTCCCACCTTACAAACCACGCCTGCCCTAATTTGCCACGGCCACCGCCCCAACAGCCTAGATGACTTGGTATTTAGAGGGGTTTTTAGGATGTCTTAATCATCTCCGTGTCTAGAATTCTGCCCACCCCAACCTCGGGTCCCTCACTGGTTTCCATCACCGTGTGACACTCAGCTTAAACTGCTTTGCTCTTGGCCCTGAAGGGCAGCACCCTAGTCTTGGGACCTAGTCTTAATCCCCAGAGCGAGGGCTGGGGTGTGGGAGAAACCTGGTTGAACCCCCTCTCCTCCATCAGCTGTGTGCCTTGGAGCAAGTGACTTCCCCACTCTGAACCCCGCTTCCCTATCTGTGCAGGGAGGGCCGGGGGAAGGGTGTCCGGCAGGCTGTGAGTTCAGTGGTGGTGGTGGCTCCTCTATGATGACGAGGGAGACCCTTTACGAGAGCTGTCTGCTACGAGACCCCCAATCCATTATGCATGTTTTATCTTCCCGCTCCCAGAGTCTTGGATAAACAAGTTTCTAGAAGACGCTCTGATTCCGCCCTTCAATCTGCTCGCTGCCCCCCCACTGAAATCTGGCCGGCCCTCGCCTGGCTGCTGGCCCCGGTTCCCAAACACCGTGGGTTCAGCATTTCTCAGCTGCATCCCATTAACACCCCCCACCGGCCTCGCAGCCTCCCCGCCTCCTGGGCTCAGGGCTGAGGCTCACAGTGAGATGGAGCTGCCTTTGTGAAGGACAGTGGTGCCCGGGCTGTCGGCTGGGGCCGGGGGCACCTGTCAGCGTTTGCCCGAGGGGGTGCCCCCAGGGCCCAGCAGACACTGGCCGTGTGCTCGGAGACTGGGAGAAGGCGCGTTGGAATGAGGGGCTCTGGGAAATGCGGGCAGGACGCATTCTCTGGGTGGCCACTGAGGGGAAAAAACAGGATCCCAGAGGAGACTCACAAAAACCACTGCCCTGGGAATCAGGAAGCAGCCCTGCGCTGGCTCAGTCCCCAGCTCAGGCTGTGTGTCTGTGATTGAGCTGCTGCCCTCTCTGTGGTGCATTTAACTTAACAATGAACAGGTTAGGTGAGGCGCCCCCTGACCCCGCACCCGGTTTTTAAACTCTTGCTTGGCTGCAGACTCATTTTAAAGAAAAATTTCTTCTTGGGATTTGGATGTATAAACAGATGAACATAGAACAGTCTCTCTGGATACAGTAGGTGAGGGGGGACTGGGATCCTGCCCACTTGACAGTAAGTTGAAAGAGACCAGGAGGTACCCCCGTGGAACAGGGGTCGAGATCCATATCTATGACATGATGGCTGCTCTGTGGAACTCCCTCCTGCCCGGGCAGACTCGAGCCCTCCGGCCTCTGCTGCTGACAGTCATGGCAAGGATTTATTGAGCACCTGGTTTTGTGCCAGGGCTGGACTTTACTCACATATGTTCTGAACTTTAATAGACAACCCCGATTCAATGACCAGCATCACCAATTTAGGAGCTCTGTGACCTTGCACAAGTGAGCTAACTAACCTCTCTGTGCTTCAGATTCTTTATCTGAAAAATAGATTGTTCAGAGGATTAAAGGAACCAATCCAGACAAAAGCATTTAGAACAATGACAGGAATATAGGAAATAATTGATACAAGGCATTTTTAAAAATCATGACTGCCTAAATGATACCGGATCTTTCTAAATACCATCCTGTTCTTAGATGAGAGAGCTGAGACTCAGAGAGGTGAAGTGAGGGCCCCTGGGTCACACAGCTAACAAGCGATGATCTGGATCCAGGTCTGCTCAACTGTACAGACTGTGGTCTGAACACCAAGCCTCAACAAAATTGCTGTTGACCCTAGAAATCAGGGTCCTTGTCATAGTACTTTGCCTGAGGTGCTCCAAGTCTGGATACCAGGGTAATTAGTGCTGGTCTGGTGTCAGCAGGGTCTGGACTCTGAGCATCTTAGGGAATGAAGATCCCCAACAGAGAGGAAGCATTTGGCTGTCAGAGACCACAGCTTCCAGGTATCTTTTCTCCAAGCCACATCCTTCTGTCTTTCCTGCTGACCTGTAAGATGTCTTCGTGCAAATTAAAAAAAGGGCAGAGGCAGCTCCAAGCTACTCCACAGGTGAGCAGAGACGAGCTAATTTCAGCTCCTATTTGGAGGGCACCATATGCCTTTGCACAGTGCCCAAACTGCACAACCTTACATGACGACCCTGACTCCTCTACCTCAGTACTTGGCGGGGAGAAATGCAGGAGGAGAATAATTTAGGCTTGATGGGAGACAGAATGGTCACAGCCTTGACCTGATGCATGCAGAGCTCTGGGTGAGGGGAAGGGGCAGCAGGCGGTGCAGTCAGGAAGCACATGGGAACCATGTAGTCACTTTATCTCTTTGTGTTCCTTTTTCTCGGCGCCGAGGGTGGTAATAAAAGATGGCTGCATGGCTCTCTCCAGGGAGCTGAACAGGAGCCAAACCATCATGTGGTGAACAAATGCCACAGTTGCTCAACTGCCGAGTCACCGCCGCGCCGTGTTAAAGTGGTGACAACGTCTCCCTGAGTCCTAACCCAGAGGTGGACACTTGCCAGCCCACCCACCGGGAGAGCCCAGTGTCTCGTCACCCAGGAGGCCCACGCACCTGTTCTGGCACCAAGAAAGGCAGAGGTGTGGGGTTGTATGAAGACCGGCCTCCGACTCCAACAGGACTGGGCCCACAGACCAACCTCACTCCTCCTAGTCTGTGGGACGCTGGGCAGGAGGCTGAGCCTCTCTGAGCCTCAGCTTCACGCCTATGAGATGACCTCAGCACCCTGATCTCCTGGGAGAAGGTGAGCATGAGAAGTAGACAGGCCCAGCGCCACCGCGGGAGACACAGGAGTGTGTGACACAGGGTGGTGCCCATCTGGGTTGCTTGACTTATCCGACAGAGATGGGTGCAGACCCCGAGCCCCCGGGACAGTCAGGGCCCACGGGAGGGCAGAACGGCTTCTCCGAGGGACACTGGAGCTGAGACCTGAAGGTGAGCAGGAGGGCTTTTTAGGGGACCAGAGCTCTCCAAGGAAAGGGTCTGGGGTGGGAAGGGACAGGGAGTCGGGGTGGCTGAGAGAGAAGGGGGAGGGGGAGGGGGAGGGGCAGGTCCACACCACGGGGCCCGTGTGGACTGGGGCCTGGGTCTGCAGGGAAGCGTTGGAGGCTTTAGCAGAAGGAATAGCGTCACCAAGTCAGAGTTTTAAGAATCCCCATCAAGGCCACTGGCTGTGTGAGCCCCCCAGAGGCGTTTGTGTAAGAGACAAAGAGACAGGAAGAAGGTCAGAGGTTGCCAGGCTCGGGGAGGAGGGGGGCCTCGGCAGAGCTGTCACCACTCACAGGAGACAGGACACCGAGGGTGACCCCTGGCGTGAACTAGGGCCTCCAGTGGTCACCATGGGCCAGCGCGGGTGACAAAGGGACACAGGTCCTCGGGTGAGAGGGTGGGGCAGGCCGGGCAGGGGTGGGGCAGGGGCTTTCTGGAAACTCCAAACTTCCTGCTTGACTTTGCCTTGAACCTAAAGATGCTCCAGAATAGAAAGTCTCACAGCAGCCCCCAGAGCACTGGTCTCTTCAGCTGGGCCGTGGGGTCAGGGGGACAGAGCCGCCGCAGCGTGTGAGCAGGGCCTGGCAGGGAGCCCGGCCCAGGGCGGACGTTCAGCTCACACTGGCTGATGGGAAAGAGCAGCCACAATGCAGCGGAGAAGGTGTCAGGGACACAGGGCTCTTTGTGCGGGATGTGAGCATCCCGGGGGTGCACTGTCGCAGGCCTCTGTGTTTGGCCGAGGCAGATAAAAATGCTGTTTCCTGGCAGGGGACCAGGATCTATCCGAGTGAGTGTCCCAGGTCCTCAGCTGCTGTTTCCTGCTTTGGGGACAATAAGCAAGGAGATTGAGTGTGGAGATCCAACCCTCAGCCTGAGTGCTCCCTGGGGATCAGCGCGCCTCACGGGTGGGTCGCTGTTAGTGGTATTTGCATCTGGGGAAACTGAGGCACGGGGAGACTCATCGGCCTGCTCAGTGTAAGTGACAGAATAGACTTAAGAGAGGACCAGGAGATGGATACAGAGCTACCCGGGAGAGAGGAGGAGTGAGCACGGACGGTCAGAAGGACGGAGCCCGCGGCAGGTGGGTCGTGGCAAGGGACAGGGTCAGGAGGGAGCTGCCCGTCAGCGGTGGAGAGCGGGGCCTGGGACGCGCTGGCGGGTGAAATCCTGCCTCCTCTGCTTTTTGGGTGACCTTGGGCAAGTTATTTAGCTACTCTGTGCCCCAGTTTCCTCATCTGTATCGCAGGGATTGTGACAGGCTGGGTGACGTGGAGTTGTTTGGGGGACTGAGTGAGAAAATGCCTGAACTCGCTGGCGTATGGCGTAGTGTGGTGATTTGTCTGGGCTCAGTATGTTTCCAGACAGAGAAGGCCACGGCCCAGGAGTTTTTAAACGTGCACAGAGCCTCCAGTGAGGCGTGGGACTCAGACGCACCGCATCACAGAAGCCTGATGGCCTGGTGACCACATGGCTGTGAAGAAGCCCCACAGCGACACAGAGAAAGACAGGGCTATGGAGGAGCCCGGGGCACCAGACCAAGTGCTCGGACCTCCTGGCCCAGTCTCACCACAAGCCACTTGTGAATCACTCTGGGCTAAAACTGTGGAGACAGAAGAATAGCCCCTCAAGCCTTGCCCCAATTCCAGACCCACAGACTGAGAGCAAACAAACAAACAAAAAATGGTTGCAGGTTCAGACCACGAGATGTGGGGTCATTTGTTACACAGCAATTACTAACTGAGACAAAGAACAAGGGCAGAGGCGAACCAGTGGGGTGGTGCTGCAGAAATCCAGGTGGGAGAGAGGTAGAGAACGCCTCTTTCAAGGAAGGAGATCATCCCAGGGCTGGGGGCACTGCAGATACTTAGGGCCATTAGGACAAGCCCTGCAGAAGGTAAGTGGCTACATTCCTGAGAGCCAAGAAAGACCAAAGGCTACAGAAATACTACTTATTAGCAAAATAAAGACACATCCCAGGAAAAATGCCCATCTTAATAGAACATCTCTTCTCTATCCTATTCTGTTCTGTTCTATAGAACACTTGTTATTTATTATTTATCAATCGCATTCCAACATGTCACCTCGTCGCTCTGTCCACCCGTCTGTGGAGTTGGCCTTGCCATCCGTACTTTACAAATGAGGAAACTGGCTCAGAATGGACACAGTGAGTGGTCTAAAGCCCCAGGGCACATGGTCAAGGTAGACTCTGAACCTTTAACTCTTCTAGGTGAGTAGATTTCTTGTTGGGACACTTCCATTGCTAAAATTGCCACGTTTATTTTAATTTTTGATACCAGGGATTGAACCCAGGGGTGCTTTACCACTGAGCCACATCCTGGCTCTTTTTATTCTTCATTTTGAGACCGGGTCTCGTGAGGTCACTTAGGGCCTCTCTAGGTTGCCGAGCCTGGTTTTGAACTCGTGATCCTCCTGCCTCAGCCTCCCGAGCAGCTGTATTACCAGCGTGCACCACCATGCCTGGCTGCACATTTATTTTAAACTAATAAAACAAAGAAAGCAGCATCTCATTCTGTCTTTCTGGCCTGCCTGCTGTCCCTCTCCATAGGCCGGCGGGCGATGGCTTTTAAAGTGGGGGTCCTTGGATGCCCAGGATTGGAATCGCAGAGCCCGACAGCATGCGGACTTCTGCGTCTCACCCAGGAACCGTGTCTTTCTGGGAATAAGGCCTAAGCATCTGCATTTAAAAAAAAAATAGGAGCAGGGCTTCCTGATTTAGTCATGTTACAGATCAGTTTGAGAGTCACTGAAGTTGTGGCTCAGCAGGAGCCCGGAAACAGTGGGTCATGATCAGGTGAAGACGGTGGAATATCACTCAACATTAAAAGAGAATAAAATCATGGCATTTGCAGGTAAATGAATGGAGATGGAGAATATCATGCTCAGTGAAGTTAGCCAATCCCCAAAAACCAAAGGCTGAATGTTCTCTCTGATAAGTGGATGCTGATCCATGACGGGAAGTGGGGAGGCTTGGGAAAATGGAGGAACTTTGGGCAAAGGGGGAGGGAGGGGAGGGAGGGTACATGGGGGCAGGAAAGATGGTGGAGTGAGGAGGACAGCGTTACCCTAGGTACATGTGTGACTGCACCTAGGTGGGACACTACGTCGTGTACAACCAGAGAAATGTAAAGTTGTGCTGCATTTATGTACGATGAATCAAAACACATCCTGCTTCATATACACCTAATTAGAATAAATCAATCAATCCGAAAATATTTAGAGAGAAGAATTTCAAAATATTTTTTAAATATTGAAAGATCAAAACTTTTGTTATCTTACACAATAATACCTAAAATAAGGTGCATAATGGGTGATCTATTTTTTCCTAATCCACAGTAAAATAAAGAAATTTAATAAAAAAAAATAATGAAGAAGGTCTCTGAGCAGCTCAGCCAAGGGCACATGGGTCACCCAGCCCTGATCTGGGTTCTCACTGCTCCATCCTGCCTGCCGAGGGACCCCAGAGTCTTTTCTTCTGTCTCCCCCACCCATGAGGCTTACTCCAGTTCCTGCAAGACCGGTGGAGTGTGAGGGGACGGAGGGGTGGGGACACGTAGGAAATCTCAAAGAAACGCTGTCTGCATTGTGTGTTGGAGGACCTGGGAGTCAGGAGGTGAGTTGCACAAGGCCACACAGCCAGCCAGCCGGAGTCTGCAGTGGGACCCAGGGCCGCCTACCACCAAGGCTCCTGTGTAGTCCAGTGGGAGGCTGTGCCAACGGGGTCAAAGGTCAGTGTGCTGGAAGGCCGGATCTGGGCCCCTCCTCCACTGCCTTAGCTGTGTGACCTCAGGAAATGGTCCCTTGCTGCCGTCATGGGGCACAAAACCACCTGCTCTGGGAAGCGCTCGGTAGCCAGTAGCCTTTTAGTACAAAGTGGCCACTTCTGAGCGAGAAGAGGCCCCGAAGCCAAGGCCAGAAGGGTGACGGGAGCTACTGTCAAGACAGCAGTGGGTCCCAGGGCTGGGGACATTCTGGCTATGGCCACGGCATTGGGAAGGTCGTTAGGGTGGGCAGGGTCCGGGCTCACACAGGTCTATCCATCCCCGATTTCCGGGCATCAGGAGCCACAGTTTCCCCCAGCGTCCCGCAGCTGCTCCCTCCCCAGGGCAGTTGGCAGACCTGCTGCTGACTGCTGGGCAGCGGAGCCTGGCACTTCTCTCCGGGCGTACACTGTCCCTCTCTTGTGCTGCTCTCTTCCCGTTCCCACGCCCCACCTCGGCCAGTCCCCAGGGATCCTGCTGCAGGCAGGGCACAGAGTGGATCAGGACATGTCCCTCCAAGAGTGCTGGGCCCTGCACTGCCCCGGTGTGCCTGGCCTGGGGACCCAGACCCTGCCCCCTCCTGGGGACGGAGGGCCTGCTGTTGGGAAGTCTGTGCCCGGGTCCAGCCGTGGCCTGAGATCTCTCAGCGGTGAGTTCTCACTGTGCAGAGTGGGGGGATTTTTATTCGTGGGGACAGTCGGCCAGCCGTGAGTGCCTTCAGCGAGGATCCAGGCGTCCTGCCAGGTGCTGGGGCATCCCTCCTGAACTTGATCCTCGAGGCGGGATCAACCCAGGGGAGACAGAGCGGAAGGGCTGGGGCATCCCTCCTTCACTGTAGGGCGAGGTAGCCAGGCCTCGGTAGGGGACAGACACTAGAGAGTACCACGGGGACGAGGCAGACTCCTGCCTACGATGCTCATCCCAGGAAACAGTTCAGCGGACGAGATCACCCGGCGGCTCTGCGGACTGAACATCTCCGTCTCCGTTACATCTCCGTCCTCCGGCAGGGCCCAGCCCTGTGGACCTAGCCACCTTCATTTCAGGCAGCGATAAAAGCTTGAGGGAGAAACGTCCTTGCAGCGGGAGAGCGGGGTGGCAGGGTCTGGCAAGGTCCCTCTGAGAGGGGACATTTGAGAGGAGGCCAGACCCCTCACAGACGGGAAGCCA